GATCACACCACTGCACTCCAGTCTGGGTGATAGAGTGAGATCTTGTCTCAAAAAAAGAAAAGAAAAGAAAGGAAAGGGAAGGGGGAAGAGGAAGGGGAAGGAAAGGAAAGGAAGTTAGAATGCTCTTACACAGCTTGTGAACAGCAAGGCAGGTACCCAACCCTCTTCTTCTTTATTGGAAGTACACTTTCCCCATAATCCCACAGGCACTCTGGGTTCCTTAAGGGGCTTCCAGTCCAGTTGGCATGTAAGACCCCAACACAGCAGAAACAGTCATGGCCCTGGATTTTCATTGGTTTTGATCTCTCCATTCAGGAAGCTGCTTTGTCCAAGCTCCCTGGGCCCCAGAGTAAAGGGGAAGGACAGCCCCAGGTTAAGTTGGAAACAGACAGTGTAGGGAAGGGACGGAAATGAGGCGCAGCAGCCACTGTTGCTGCCACCTCTCTTTTGTAGATGGGTTGCTGGAAACACACAGGTGAGGGTGTATAGATGTGTTGTTCTGCTCTTCAGCCATGACCTTGGCATGACCTCATCTGGGCACCTCCTCATGTCAGGACCTCTAAACTGGGATTGGCCACCAAGTATCCTCTTCCTGGAAGAGTCTGTGAGTCTGTGATTCTAGGGGTTCACCCATTAGTACCACTGATCTCACTGGAGACCACGCAACACAATCAGTCTCCAGTATATCTGCGGCCACTTGCTTGTGTGATGTGGCCCTGACATCTTTTTTTGTTTTCTCCGTTTGCAGTTTGAACAGGGCTGTTCTGGACATCATCTAGGATTTTAAAACGCTCCCCAAGTGATCTCATTGCATACCCAGCATTGAAGATTCTTGGTTACAGACCCACCTCCTGGACCAATCACTGTTGAGAGGGGATGGTGTATTATGATTGGCTAGGTTTGGGTCACATGTTCACCATTAACCTCACTCATGGACTCTCTAGTTTGGATGGGCAGTGGTCTTGGTGGTAAAAATGGGGGTCCCACCGAAATCGTGGAGAAGGGCAGTTCTGCCAAAGGAAACAGAGTTAATGGGTCCTCTAGTGAGTGGCTGGTTCAGGGGAACTCACTGATGAAGCCAGAACCACCGCACCTGGCTAATTTATTTTACCTTTTCTAGAAATGAGGTCTTGTTATGTTGCTGTGCACTAAGATCATTTGGGGAGCTGTTTAAAATCACGGACGCACAGGGCTGTATTTCATGGCCCACAGTGCTCAGGGTAATACCTGGACCGTTGTCTCTAAATGCCTGTGAAACAAGCAGTCTGGGGTGGCCTCTTTCTTAGCTAAGCCTCTGCTCCAAACTTCAGAGTCCCTCACTGGGCACATGGTCCAGAGAAAGTGCCGCGGACCACTGGGAGGGAATGGAGGTCCTGGTTCTGGCTTAATCACTGATTTTCTTGGATCCCTTGAACCAGCCACTCACTAGAGGACCCAGTAACCCTGTTTCCTTTGGGAGAACAGTTCTTCTCCCTTTCTCCACGGTTTTGCTGGGACCCCCATCCTTACCACCAATACCACTGCCAGTCCAAACTTAGAGGGTCCATGAGTGAGGCTTCATGGTGAACACGTGACCCAAACTTAGCCAATCATAATACTCCATCCTCTCTCAGCAGCGATTGGTCCAGGGGGTGGGTGTGTAACCAAGAAGAGCCAATCAGAGTGTCTCCCTCAGACAGCTGAGAAAATGGCTCTGCTTATTCTTTGCGTGTTTCTTTTGTTTTCCTTCTCTCTCCCCAGGCAGAGTTTTACAATTGTTGCCCAGGCTGGATGGAGTACAATGGTGCGATCTCCACCCACGGCCTTCCAGGTTCAAGTTATTCTGCTGCTTCAGCCTCCCAAGTAGCTGGGATTACAGGCATGCACCACCACGCCCGGCTAATTTTGTATTTTTAGCAGAGAAGGGGTTTCTCCATGTTGGTCAGGCTGGTCTCGAACTCCCGACCTCAGGTGAGTCGCCCGCATCAGCCTCCCAAAGTGCTGGGAGACAAAGAAGCCAACACATAAAGGGGGCAGGGAGAGAGAGAGAGAAAGAGAGAGGGGGAGAGAGAGAGAGAGAGAGAGAGAGAGAGAGAGAGAGAGAGCGCGTTATTTGAGGGTGTCTCCATCCTTGTAGCTAGTGGCAACTTTTCATGCACCTGCCCTGTGGAATAAAGTTGCCTCTGGCTTCTGTCACCTGACCCAGGAGAAGGGCTCCCCTTACCCTCACTCTCCTTGCCCTGATCCTTGCTCTATCACTCCACTAAGGGATTGCTAGATATTTTCTGTTGGCCCTTCCAGCAAAGATAGTCCATGATTCTAAATAGCTTAGGCTGCCCTGACTCAAAGCTGAAAAACTGCAGCTCTAGCCTCCAACCCTGCACAGCAAAAGTGCTGATAACATAACAGCTATGCAAGTAAATCCAGAGCTTCTGTTTCCAGGGGAAGGCTGAGGAGGGCTGTGTGCGCTGTTGTTGGGGGGTGGGGGAGGTGAGGGAGGCAAATTGCTTTTGTTCTCTGCAGAGCCAGAGCTGGGCTTTGAAGAGGTTTTTCTGCCTCCCTGGTGCTCTGCAGATTTGGGGTATCTTCCAGCAGGGTTGGCTTCCAGGCGGGCGACAGTTAGATTCAAATCACTTCTGCTCCCCAGCTCAGCCCTTGGGCCCAGGTGCCTGCTGGATTCAGAGCACAGCCGCTGCCTTCTCCAGGAAATCTCTGCTTAGCACAGCCAGGTCCTGTACTGTTGTCATTAGGAGCCATAAAATCCTAATTTATATTGCTAGAAGGGTAATTTATACACTAATGTAAATTTCTTTTACTGCTGATTTTTGAGCAACTGATGTGCAATTATTTCCAGCTCTCTTTCCAATGCAATTCTGAAATGACGGTTGCTAATACCTTAATATTCTTTATGATTGCCAGAGATGATATTTTTCCCGGATCAAATGTATCCAGTGGGGTTTGACATAATTGGGTTAAAGATTTCTCTTTCTGAGGCTGTAAGACTTGTTAGGCTGATGTGGGCTGCTAGGGGATGATGGCTAAGGCCTTAGTTTGAGTTTTACTGTTCTCTCAGCTTGGCCCCTTCTCTTTTCTGAGCCTCAGATCCCCCTTGGATGCCTACTGTGTGCTCAGCTCCAAAGGAAACTCATTACATGCAAATGTGGTTTAAGAAAAAAAAGTCATGTTAAGGGCTGATGGAACAATTCCTCTTCTGGATAGAATGGTTTTAGGAACACAGTGGGTGTTGGAAATAGATGCTGGGTGCTGCAAAGAAAAATTAGCATGGAGACAAAGGATCTTTCAGCAATGCAATTTTTACTTCCTGGACTGCAGGAAGGGTACCCTCGCTAGCCGTTCTGCCATGAGAGTACAATGAACAAAGGAAAACACACAAATTTATCCCTTACGCATTTGGGGATGTCCTAACTGCTGTCTGATCTCCATTGGCTGGAGCCAGACCTCACACTCTAAACTAAAACCTGATTGGCTAACAACTGAAAACTTTTCTAAACAGGTAAAAGCAATGGAGAGCTGGGACATGCCTGTGAGCACGTCCAGCACAGATAGCTTGGTTACAGTACAGGACATAGAAGGTAAGCATGGCATGTCTCACAGCTACGCGGGACAGGGCTTAACAAAGTTATTAGCATTAGCACACTTATTCTTTACCAAGAAAGGAAACTTTAAAAAGGAGCTTTTCTACTTCCCTCAGTGGGGCATGAATGGCTGCCCTTGATGTATTGAGCATGAATAGTGGAAGGTTGAGTGGCTGGGTTCACCTCTACAGCAAGAGACAGCGGTGCCTTCAGGGTGTACCTCCCTCTGTGGCCCTGCTGTGGGCAGCTAGAGCTGGTCAGAAGCAGGCCAGAGACCACAGAAGTCTGCCTCTGAGCTATGCCCTGGCCTCTAGCCCATGCTTCCCCCTTCCAAGTAATTAACAATGGTGCTAAGACAGTGCTATGGTCAGAATGTGTACGTCCTGTCCAAATTCATATATTGAAACCCTCACCTGTGTACCCCAAATACCTGAGACAGGTCTAAGTTAATTTAGAAAATATATTTTGCCAAGGTTGAAGATGTGCACCCATGACGCAGCCTCAGGGCGTCCTGATGACATATGCCCAAGGTGGTTGGGGCACGGCTTGGTTTCATACATTTTAGGGAGACGTAAGACATCAGTCAGCATGTGTAAGATGAACATTGGCTCCCTCCAGAAAGGTGGGACAATTTGAAGCAGGGAGGGGCTTCCAGGCCACGGAAGGGTGGCATACTTGTGAGTTTCTGATTATTCTTTCCAAAGGAGGCAGTCAGATGTGCATTTATCGCAGTGAGGAGAGGGATGACTTTGAATAGTATGGGAGGCAGGTTTGCACCCTAATGTTTCCAGCTTGACTTTTCCCTTTAGCTTAGTGATTTTGGGGTCCCAAGATGTATTTTTCTTTTACACCTCCAAGATGATGGTATCAGGAAGTAGTGGAGCTTTTGGGAGGTGATCAGGTCAATGGGGGAGTGAAGACTTCATGAACAGGATTAAGATCCTTATAAGAGACCTTCCTGCCATGTGAGGTTGGAGTGAAAAGGTGCTATCGATGGCACAGTGTCGCCTTACCAGCTGCTGAATCTGTCAGTGACTTGCTCCTGAGACTTCCTGTCCTTCTGAACTGTGAGAAATAAATTTCTGTTGTTAATGTACTTATTTTATTTATTATTAAAATTTTTCAGACTGGGCATGGTGGCTCATGCCTGTAATCCCAGCACTTTGAGAGGCTGAGGTGGGTGGATCATGAGGTCAGGAGTTCGAGACCAGCCTGGCCAACATGGTGAAACCCTGTCTCTACTAAAAATACAAAAATTAGCTGGGCGTGGTGGCTGGCGTCTGTAATCCCAGCTACTCAGAAGGCTGAGACAGGAGAATCACTTGAACCCAGGAGGCGGAGGTTGCGGTGAGCCGAGATTGTGCTACTGCACTCTAGCCTGGGTGACAGAGCAAGACTCCATCTCAAAAAAATTTTTTTTTTCTTAGAAATGGGGTCTTGCTCTGTCACCCGGGTTGTAGTACAGTGGCATGATCATGGCACACTGCAGCCTCATATTCCTGGGCTCAAGCGATCCTCCCACCTCAACCTCCCACGTAGCTGGGACTACAGGTGTGCACCACCATACCTGGCTACTTTTTTAGTTTTTGTTTTTAGAGAGGGGAGACTGGGTAGATTATCCAGGCTGATCCCGAACTCTTGGCCTCAATTGCTCGGCCCGCCTCAGCTTCCCAAGGAGCCAGGATGCCAGATGTGAGCCACCACACACAGCTAAATTTCTGTTGTTTATAAGCTATCCTGTCTATGGAATTTTGTCACGGTAGCCCAGATGGAGTAAGACAGACCAGAATTACCACCAATCCTGGTGATGGTCAAGCGTCAGCTTTTGATTCTGATTTTATCTAGATTTTATTTATAAGTGTAGTTAGGACCTGACCCCAAAATCCTCTTGGCCTTTATGTGCACCCGGGCTGGAATGCGGTGGCATGATCTCGGCTCACTGCAACTTCTGCCTCCTGGGTTCAAGAGATTCTCCTGCCTCAGCCTCCCGAGCTGGGATTACAGGTGTGCACCACCACACTCAGCTAACTTTTGTATTTTTAGTAGAGAGGGGTTTTGCTATGTTGGCCAGGCTGGTCTTGAACTCCTGACCTCAAGTAATTTGCCCACCTTGGCCTCCCAAAATGCTGGGGTTACAGGTGTGAGCCATCACGTGTGGTCACTCTTGGCCTTTTAAAAGCCGAGGCCATTTTGAAACCACAGTATCTCCCGAGATCCAAGGTGGTGAAGTTTGTAAAGCACTTGGCCTCTGCCCGATGCTTACTGAGATCAATACTTGGTAGCGGTGTTACTGCTTTCATTTTCATTACTTTGTAAAATTTCAGCTTGGAAAAGGTGATTCCATAGAAGTAAAACGCAGACATGATGTAGCTGTGGCAATAGTAATAACAACAGCTAACATTTCTATAGCTCTTCCTCTGCGCCAGAGGCTATTCGAAAGATTTTACTATTTAATTGACTCTTAGAACAGCCTCTCAAAGTAGTCACTATTATTAAGCTCATTTTGTACATGTAAAAATTGGGGTACAGGATAGCTAAGTAACTTGTCATAGATAAGGTAACTTGCCACGGCTGGTGCTCAAGCATTTGGGTCCCAGAGTCTGTCTTCTTAACCCCTGTTATAAGCTAAACTATGTCCAGTGTCCCCAACGCCCACCACGTTGAAATCTGCTATGATGAGGTGACTGAGTCATGAGACCAGAGCTATCCTGGATTAATGGATTACTTGCTTTTCATGGGAATGAGACTGGTGGCTTTATAAGAAGAGGAAGGAAGACCTGAGTGAGCATGTTACATGCTCAGCCCCTCACCATGCGATGCCCTGCACCACCTTGGGTTGCTGTAGAGAGTCCCCACCAGCAGGAAGGTCCTCACCAGACACAGTCCCTCAACCTTGGCCTTCCCAGCCTCCATAAGAAATAAGTTCCTTTTTTAGGTCTGGAACAGTGGCCTAAGAAAGGAACTTAGGTAAACATGGTGAAACCCCATCTCTACTAAAAATACACAAATAAGCTGGGAATGGTGGTGAGCACCTATAGTCCCAGCTGCTTGGGAGGCTGAGGCAGGAGAGTTGCCTGAACCTGGGAGGTGGTTGTTTGCAGTGAGCTGAGATTGTGCCACTGCACTCTGGCCTCCGTAACAGAGCAAGAATCTGCCTCAAATAAATAAATAAATAAAATCTTTTTTTTTTTTTTTTGGCAAATTACCCAATTTTGGGTATTCTGTTATAAGCAATAGAAAACAGACTAAGAGACAGAGTCCTAACCCTTAGTATCTCAGAATGTCACTGCATTTGGCCATAAGTTCTTTACAGAGATAACTGAGCTAAAATGAGGTCTTTAGGGCAAACCCTATCTGATATCACTGTTGTCTTTATGGGAAGAGGATATTTGGCTGGGTGTAATGGCTCACGCCTGTAATCCCAGCACTTTGGGAGGCTGAGGCAGGAAGGATCATTTAGGCCAGGAGGGAGTTTGAAACCAGCCTGGCCAGCACGTGGGATCCTGTCTTTATAAATTGTTTTTTTGAGATGGAGTCTCGCTCTGTAACCAGGCTGGAGTGCAGTGGCGTGATCTTGGCTCGCTGCAGCCTCTGCCTCCTGAGTTCAAGTGATTCTCTTGTCTCAGCCTCCCTAGAGCTGGGACTGCAGGTGTGCACCACCATGCCCAGCTAATTTTTTGTATTTTAGTTGAGAGGGGGTTTCACCATGTTCCTGAGGGTGGTCTCAAACTCCTGAGCTCAGGTGATCCACCTGCCTCGGCCTCCCGAAGTGCTGGGATTACAGGCATGAACCACCATGACTGGCCCAGGTGATCTTTCACCCTGGACAAGTCTCATCTCAGCTCTGGCCTTCTCCTCTGAGAAGTGACTTTCAGTTTCTTGAGCATGGATATTCGAATCCCTGCAATGCCCAAGGATTTGAAGCATTAGTTCTAGGCAGGAACACTTCAAGCTAGAGCACTGTCCACTCAACTGCCATCCACACTTCCTCCTTCCATGCCAGCAGGCCCCAGTTTTCTATTTTCAGGCAGCAATGGGCTCAGCGAAGGTAAACCTGCCCTCAACTCAGAGAATGAACCTTAAATTTCCCAGATCAATCATGATAATCCACTTCCTCTTTGCCAATGATTGCGGGGTGGCCATGAGACCTATTCCAGCCAATAAGCAGGATGCAGGATGTTGGGGGGCTCCTGGGAAAGATGTCTTTCTCTAACATAGAGGATGCTACAGAAACAAAGCTTTCCTGTACTTTGCCATCTTCTCATCTTAAACGTTGTTTGATGGTGATTCAGCAGCCCTTTTGTGATCATGAGGTGATGAGTCCAAGGACAGAAAGCCAACACCCTAGGGATGGTACCACAGGAAGACAGAAGGAGCCTATGTCTTTGATGATATGGTTGAGCCACTACATTCAACTTGGAACTGCCAATGCCCAGGCTTCTTTGGTTTGTTGAGAACTGATGTCTTTGTTGCTGTTGGTCAGGTTTACCCTCTGAGCACAGTGGAAGGAGGCAGGACCCACTGGTGTGCCGCCTTGGCCCTCAGTACACCCTAGCTTGAAGGAAACTTCCTTAGCTGCTTCTGAGTATGCTTCAAAAAAAAAAAAAATCCCAGTTCTGTACCCCTCTTGTCTTTCTTCTTTCTTTCCAACCTTAGTTCTCTTTTCATCGATATTCCTACTTATTCATTTTCTTTCCTGAGTTGGAATCATTCTCTCGTTCATTTTATTAGGAGACAGTATAGCACAAACTCCTGAACAGACTGAATTCAAAACTCACCTCCCAGGCCATGCCCAGTGGCTTATGGCTGCAATTTCAGCACTTTGGGAGGCCGAGATGGGCAGATCCCAAAGGCAAGAGATAGAGACCATCCTGGCCAACATGGTGAAACCCCGTCGCTACTAAAAAATACAAAAATTAGCTGGACGTGGTGGCATGTGCCTGTAGTCCCAGCTACTCGGGAGGCTGGGGCAGGAGAATCGCTTGAACCCAGGAGGTGCAGGTTGCAGTGAGCCGAGATTGTGTCACTGCAGCTTGGCAGCAGAGCGAGACTCCGTCTAAAAAAGAAAGAAAGAAAAAGAATGAACGAACCATTCTAAGTCAGGCTTTTCCATTGTACCACAATCACAATGGGCTTTCGGGAGGATCACGATGGCTTATGGATTAATAGAGATGCCAAAATAATATACACTGCCTTTCAAAATCAGAGACACGGTCCATTTATGAAGTCATAGCTCAGCACGATCTCCTAGGAATTGCAGCATGGTAGCTCCAGGGCCCAACAAGAGAGGCTGGGGTGTGTCTGTGGGTGTGTGCACTTGGGTTGAGATGAGGAAGAAATTGTTTTGGTTATCAGTGGGTGAGACACATCTCCCAACCTCCATCATCTTGCCATTTAAACCTTGCTTCTGTCCCTCTCTCCTTATGAGTGTGGCGTCACGGTCACCTGAGGTGTTTTGGACCCGGGTCCCCTGAGAAAGCCCTGGCTACCTTCTTGAATTACTTTCCTGTCTTCATATACACTAGAGAGCAAAGCATCTTCTAAGGGAGTACATTTATGTCATATCCCTGGTCTTGGTACCCACTGGATACAGTATGTGGTAGATACAAAGACTCAAAGCAGGTTGGGTGCGATGGCTCACGTCTGTAATCCCAGCACTTTGGGAGGCCAAGGCAGATGGATCACCTGAGGTCAGGAGTTCGAGACCAGCCTGATCAACACAGTGAAACCCTGTCTCTACTAAATACGAAAAAATTAGCTGGGTGTGGTGGCACCTGCATGTAATCCCAGCTACTCGGGAGGCTGAGGCAGGAGAATCAGTTGAATCCGGGAGGCAGAGGTTGCAGTGAGCCAAGATTGTGCCATTGTACTCTAGCCTGGGCAACAAGAGTAAAACTCCATCTCAAAAAATAATAATAAAATGAAATAAAAGCAGCCCATTCTATGGGGAAGACCAAGGTGCTTTGCAGGGGAAGTATGTCAGAAATATCCTGGGGTGCAGGGAAATGCAAGGCTTGAGGAGAAGGACCTGTGTTTCCTTATAGCCTTGCTTTGTTGTGTGACTTTGAGCAAATTTCTCGAGCCTCATTCGCCGAGTGAAAATTATCATTCTTACTACATAGAATTAACTAAGTGATTATTTACAATTGACCCAGCACAGTCAATTGTAAATAATTGCTTCCTTAAATCTATCAGTTAATTCAATTACCGATCCACCGTGTCTGCACCATGAGCATCGGTTCTCTTTCATTTGCATGGGGACTGAAGTGGGCTGGCTGTGTCCCCACCCAAATCTCATCTCGAATCGTAGCTCCCTTAATCCCCACGTATTGTGGGAGGGACCCAGTGAGAGGTAACTGAATTATGGGGGTGGGTTTTCCCATGCTGTTCTCGTGATACTGAATAAGTCTTGTGAGATCTGAGGGTTTTATAAAGGGCACTTCCCCTGAACTTCTCTTGGCTGCTGCCATGTGAAAAAGGACATGTTTGCTTCCCCGTCTGTCATGACTGTAAGTTTCCTGAGGCCTCCTCAGCCCTGCAGAACTGTGAGTCAATTAAACCTCTTTATATAAATTACCCAGTCTTGGGTATGTCTTTATTAGCAGCATGAGAATGGACTAATACAGGGACTTTTTTTTTTTTTGAGGTGGAGTTTCGCCCTTGTCACCCAGGCTGGAGTGCAATGGCGTGATCCTGGCTCACCGCAACCTCCACCTCCTGGGTTCAAGCAATTCTCCTGCCTCAGCCTCCCGAGTAGCTGGGACTACAGGCATGCGCCACCACACCCAGCTAATTTTTGTATTTTTAGTAGAGATGGGGTTTCACCATGTTGACTGGGATGGTCTCGATCTCTTGACCTCGTGATCTGCCCGCCTCGGCCTCCCAAAGTGCTGGGATTACAGGCTTAAGCCACCGTGCCCGGCCTACAGGGACATTTTAATGATGAAGGCAGGATGTGAGAGTAGGCATCTCCCAGCCTCCTTTGCAGGTCAATGAAAGGGAGTTGAATTAATATAAGCCTGCAGGATCCTCTCCCCTAATCCCCTGCTTCTTACATTTTATTGGAGAGAATTTTGTCATATGCTCATAACCAAGTGCAAGGGGCTGACAAATGTAGCACCCCTTGAAGGGGACAACAGATTGTGATGCATAATTAGCAGCCTCTACCACATAACCTTAAAAGAAATGAGCATGTACTTGCTTTAGACTCTCCTCCTCTGCACTGGCTCAGATGCATATGTAATGGCAGGAGCCGAAGCAGCCACTTTGGACCTAGAGACAGAAACTGCATGTTGAGGACAACAGAACTGCTCTTCTAACCCTGGGGTGTCTCAGGATCATTAAGTAACAGATAAACATGCCTTTAACTTATTTAAACCATTGTGTTTTTGGGTCTCTTTGGTACTGCAGCTTAAACTGTGTTGTTTAATGGATCTACACTTGCTGGTAATGAACCAGCTTCTCAGTATAAGATGCAGGAGCCCTTTTTTTTCCCCAGGCTGGTGTGCAGTGGCACGATCATAGCTCACTGCCGTCTTGATCTCCTGAGTTCAAGTGATCCTTCCATCTCAGCCTCCCAAGTCGCTGGGACTACAGATGGGCACCACCAAATACCCAGCTAATTTTAAAATTTTCTGTAGAGACAGAATCTCCCTATGTTGGCCATGCTGATCTCGAACTCCTGAACTGCAAGCAGTCTTCCCACCTCGGCTTCCCAAAGTGCTGGGATTACAGGCAGGAACCACCTCACCTGGCTAGACACAGGAGCCTTTAACACGTTCATGCATTAATTTTCATCTTTTCGTTAGAAGGATGCTCTCCATCTTTAATACAAAGGGAGTCTCAAGCTTGTTCTTGCTTGCTCCTCATCCCAGTTTCTCCAGGAGAGCCCAGGAGATCCTCATCCAATAGCATTCCTGGTCACTTGTCCTGATGCCATAGAGATAAAGCAGGAAACTTAATGCCCAAGAAAGGTCTTTATCTCTAAT